CCGCCCACCGACGCCCACCGCGGGACCCCTGACCTGGCACAGCTGGACGCTTCGCGCGGGCGGGCGGGCGGCTTGACCAGCAGTCCGGTTCCGGGCCGGGGTAGGTGGGAAATAAAATGTGACTATCTCAAGATGATTAAAAGTGTGTATTGTACGGACACAGACTTATACAACTAATCTACACGCATATTGTCCACTGGTGGGAAAAAATAGTTTGATACGGTTGGTTGTTAATGATTCCGGGCGTGTCAACTGCCGAGGACACTAATCCGGTAAATGTAGTGCATGTTTGTTCTCTCGTGAGATGGCAGTGATCTTCCTGGCGCCGACCTAACGTCGGCTAGCGTGGATTTCCCCAACCAGGTATCTCCCACCTGCGGGAACCGCCCCTCCCAGGATAAGCTCTAAGCTCCCGACCGGTCTTCCAGGATGTGTGGTAGTGTAGTGCATGGCAGTGTACGTGTGTGTAGTAGGTGAGGATAGGACAAGAAAGGGGAAAGAAAGTTCATGCGCGTTACGTGACACCGTTTGTTAGGGTACTGCTGCAGAATTTGCCAGGTGTTGATTGGAGAAACGCAGGTAAATTTTCGATCAGAGCAGACGGCCGCGAGAGTTCTCCTTCAGATGGCAACTGAATTCGACCTAGCTGACAAGCTAGTGTCGAAAATATTGCTACTGTCGGCATTTGAAGCTCGGGCCTCCCGGTGAGAGGAGCAGCAGCGACATTAGTTGACGCACTGAGCCACCTCTCCCGGTAGTTTGAGAAATCGTATGGTTTTCTTAATACTCTTCACGCGCCTGCTTGCAGATTCATTAAATGCGTTTTGAAGAATCTGAAAGCAGGAACGTACAGAGATTATTAAAAACTACACGATTTCATATCAAACTCATTTTTTTTCTCCAGTGGACAATATACGTTTTGATTTGTTCCTCCTCATTCAACAATATTTGCAATGGACGCAGCACACATCAAGAACCGTCGCTTCTCCAGTTTGTAACACTGACATTCTAATTAAACATTAGAATTTTCGTTGTCTGCCTGGACTTTTCTTACTCCATCGAACCCGTTTCCCTGTAATCATATTCAAATAAAGCTAAGCAAATTACTCATGAGATCGAATCCACAAGGCTTTTCATCAAATTAGAACTACATAACTCTTCCCTGTCGTCACGTGGAGCGCAGTTGGACGCTTCACGCGGACTCACACGGTCGGCGTGGCCAGCATGTCGATTCCAGGCCGGGAATGCGCGAGAAATAAAAAGCGACTGCCGGGGAAGATTGTGAAAAGTGGGAGTTGAATATTATGTTAATTTTTGAGTCTAGAAAATATGTCATTATACGCTACAAGTACTGCAGAGATTCATTACATTACTTGCATGTGGTGGATATTTCTTTCAAGGTAATCCAAATCCTTACTTATACGACAGTTTCTGCTGTATGCTATAGTTGTCACTTTTATTTTCGATTATAACGCATAGGCTTTATGTTAATATTTCTTCAATTACAAATCGTCTATAACTGTGAGAAAACCAAATAAAATGTCAATGGGCAGCGTAGTAATTTCCGAAATCACATTTCTAAACGTGTTCACAACCAGTTAGCTCCGAAAGTCTTACTTTTATTGTGTACTTACACGTGGACAATTCATGTGTGCGTACAAATATTTCTTCACAATTTTTTGTATATCTCTAGGCTTAATTGTGCTTTAACAATTGAGCACAGTTGAGCACGTCACAATTAATTATAAATAGTTTAATGTGCTATAAATACGTATAAAAATCAATTCAAAAAATATAAATTGTATTATCGTCTCGGGTAGAACTGTGTCTGTTAACTTAAGTTTTCATATGGTAAGCTGCGGCTGCAAAAATATTGCGCAAGAGATAGCAAAGGTTCTCATAGGTTTAAAATCTTAAATGTCGATAATCATACTTGATTATTTTAGATAATATATAATGGATTGGATAATGTTACATTGGCGCACTGGAGAATATGCTATAAGGAGCTTCATAATGCAGCTACTGCTCTTATAGAATTCATAATTGCACTAGTTTAATAATGACTTAAGTATACCACTTTTTCGTGAACAAAAGAAAAATGTTGTAGCGAAAATAAAATAGATTTATAATCGTCTTTCATAAAAGTTTGAATGGTATACGTTTGATATAAGATCAGCACTAGATCTCTAGCGCTTTTGCAACACGAAGCGTCAGCCGAGTTTACATTACATTATCTTTTTGAAGATAAATGTAAACAAGAAGAGTGATATTTTAGAAAAGAAGGGCGTTTTGGTAGAGAAAAGGTTATAATTGATATAAATGTACTACAATACCACTTGATCGTTTGCAAGATGCATTTCAACCTAATACTTTGCCGCGTTTTGAGAAAATATTGATGGTTCTTCTCATCATTTCTAGACAGATTAAACATAAAAATGTCTTTAAACGATTGGAACAAAAGTGTACGAGGGCAAACATCACATCACACTTCGTGAAGACAAACAGACGTGTCCCCAATCGGCATTGAGGATATGGGTGACATGGAGCAATGAGGATAATGGTGACATAAGTGCCCAGTACTAGCTGTGTTGGCGAAAGAGCACTTAATTTTCTTTATTAAATTGCGAGTGTCTTGAAAGCCGTGTTAACAGCTCTCGCAGAAAGGAATAGCCTCTGCTCGCAGTATTGCGACCGCACCCACCGCTACTCGCTTCGTCCATACAAGGAGGCGGCGGGCAAATGGACGGCGGCGGCGGCGGCGGCGGCGGCGAGACCTAGTGAGAAGAAGCGGGGGCGGAGCTAGAAACGGAGCGCCGCGGTGCAGCTGTTGTCGCTCAATGGACCGAAACTACCTACTCACCGATCAAAATGCACACTGCCCTCTACTTCATGAACTTATGCTACCCATTACCCTTTACCCTTACTCTCCCTATTATAGTGTACGATGAAGTGCTGAGAGATTAATTGGTGTATTCGGGGCTTGATTTCTGGCCGAACGCGCCGAAATCGCGTCCCGGTGCCTTAGAGATAATTATTAAATTATAATATAAATATATAAATATTTATATTAAATTAATAATTAATATGGACTCCGTCGCGGGACCTAATTTTTTATAACTGAAGCACTGGGTTTACAATATATATTATTTCTCTAAATATACCGAGATTTTCAATTTTATTTGCTTCCTTTCACCATCCCAAAATCACATCGATCTTAAAATAATAACCCGGCTGATTGGTATTTTTTCAGATTACATTTAAATACAATATTGTACTATCGTACAAATGTTTACGTAGAAAACACCTGACCATAAATGTAGTACAAAGTGTCTCTAGATATTCACATTTTTAATGGGAGAACCTCCATCATGAGTGTGGAGAAATTTCCATGAATAATAATCTCCATGAATGAAACTGTGATGACTGAAATGAAACTGAAACTGAAAACTGTGAAACTGAAATGAATGATCACTGTGAATCACATAACAAATAACGAGAAATGGATGTTCATGTTTTATTATTTTATGAAAACTATTGTGTACCAAACGTTACGTTTGAATTTAATTGTTATTAAATTTAAAAGACATGGTTGTTATTACAGTTATTTAAAACTCAAGATGATTTCAATACTTACTTATGGGAGTATTTACTAGATTTAGAAGATCATTATCGGATTTCGTCCCTTAATTAATAACGTAACCCAATAGGCGGTAGATGCAGAGTTTGATAACTCGTAATTTAGGAACTCAGTAAGGAACTCTTTCTTGATGAACCTTTCAATGTCTACTTTTTATCTTCCGAATTAAAACAATGCTAGCCTCCAAACTACTAATGTTATTTTGTTCAACTACGTTTAGACCGTTATTATTAATTTTCTTCCGAAGAAACATAAAAAATAATGTTTTAAAACTGTATGAATATTATTACTCAGAAACACAACACACTTTAAATGTAAAAGAATAACTAATTAAGACTTCCTGCTGAAATTGTAACGAATATGCTATAAGAACATGTAAACCGTTCTTTCGGAAATTGGGACTACCGTATACAGCATTTCGGCCCCGCCCCCAACGCCCGGACTTGCAACCTCTGGCGTCCGCCTGAACGGCTGGCTCTCGACGGGTCGAAGGAAATTAACGCGTTAATCGACTGCTTTTTCACGCGGCGGCGGCGGCGGCGGCGGCGCCGGGAACTGCGGCGGAAGACGCGTGGGCTGCTACGGGCCCGGCCGAGAAGAAAACGGAGGCGGTGGAGACGGGGTGGCAAAAGACGGAGTGCACCTAGAAGAACCGGAGGTGGAAGACAGATGTGAGGGGCTACGGGGTAATGGGATAGAGGGCGGAAGAAATGGGTGTGGGGCGTGATAAGAACAAAGCTGTGACAGCGAAGAAATTATTCAAGCCAGGAAATAGGAAGGAAATATTCAGGAATGGAGTTCACGTTATGAATGATTTCGAGAAAAGTGGAGTGTTCATTAAATATACTGTAAGTGTGAATGTGGATTTTTATATGAATTACTCAAATCCTACTATTCTAAAATTATTAAAGACTGTGGAGAAAAGAGTCATAAGGAAATATCTGTTCTTGTACAAAAAAATGTTGTTTTGGGGGTTATGCGTTCGGTCATATCATTCATCAGCCAAATTTAAGATGCGTTATTACTAGGGAGAAAACATTTGGAAGGTATTATGAGATATTTAGTAGTTTGTTGCAGCATTCTACGATTCAGTCGAGAACAAAATCAATGCTTGTTGTGAGTTAGAACCCGCAAGGCTCAGCATCTCACTAAGTGGAGACCCAAAAAGCCTGATACAGCATGTACACGGCTGCATCATTCTCCAGTTCTCTTTCAGACATAGATTGCGTGCGACTCAGCCATGCAGCTAGGGTCGACAATCTGTCACCGTCGGGACTCAAACCCGGGAACTTCCCGCTCAACAATGGAACAGAGGTAAATATGTTGCTAAGCTAAAGCAACCCGTTATAGGAGCTGGAATCAATGATGGTCGTCTCCAAGGTCAAAAGAGCCTGATCAAAACGTGAAAACTACGAGGAAACCTATAGACAACTCGCTTTATGCTCCACAAATGTCAAACGCGTCAAACGATTTGAATTCTGCTCGGTCACCGTTACGGATCGCCCCAACTTTATTTCTACAGTCCCAGCGCCATTGCAAACACCCGGATCACCTCTGCTACTCATTTCCCACCGACGCCGCCTTCTCGTCTTCCCACGCTTTACTCCCATTCACATCTCCTCCCACTTCGTTCACCGACACTCCCCTCTCTCCCCTTCACGTTTCTTTTACTACCTCCGCAACGACAGCTCCACAAACTTAACTGCGCCTCCACTCCCAAACACCATCGCCACACGATTATCGCCATCACCTGGTCTGCCGCCGCCACCCGCTGCGCCGCGGCGATTAACAAATGAAGCGCGCTCATTAGGGCGCGCCCGGCGGCGGCGGCGGCGGCGGCGGCGGCGGCGGCCGCGAGGGCAGCTAATAGATCCGCTTTCGTCGCGGCGTCTGCGTCTTCGTCCTTTTGGGAGCGCCGCCCGGGAACAGCCGCCGCCCCGTAGCCTCTCTCCGGCTGCTCTACACTCCGGGCAGTGCGCCTTACGAGAGCTACAGAATGAAGGGAAATGGAATGGCCTAGCCTCTAAACGAGTGATCGCCAAAGCGCCGATCGGCGAAGTGTGCTATAGTTGCGAGCACTTTTCGGTCGATCCCGGTCATGATCAACTGGCTAACCTGAACTTTTTTTTACAGAGGTCAGATAGACGACTCATTTTTCCTTGTATGCAGTTTTATTAAAATTTGTTTCATATTTAATAGAAATGTATGATTATAGTCAAAAAAGAAATGGTAAGATTGTGTTTTTGTTTCTTGGTTGCTTAGAGTAGGATTAAAAAATGGTATGGTTGTTCACAAGCTTCAGAGGTTGGACGACCACTGCTCTAAATATTAAATCATGTTATACAATACGATAACTATGAAAGTTCCGTACGCAATGCATTTTCACTTTGCTTACGTATATTTTTGTATCATTTCATGATTTTAATAAGATATGAATGCATTGCGTACAGAACTTGATATAAACCGTTTTTAGTTACAAATACGTTTTTTCAAACACATTTAGAGGTAAAGATAATTTTCAGTAGCTTACTTGGAGGTTAGAAGCTAATTTTCAGGAGCTTGTCTATCCATGTTTTGCTTTTGTATTGAAATCATATTTTTTTAAATACTGATTAAGTTCTGAGACATTAAAAATGTTAACGTCGTGAACGTTTGGTATTTTTGTTCATGTTTTCCTACACCTTCACTCGTAAAATTAACAAAAAAATATTGATAATAAAACTTGTTTCAATATCTGAAGAACATGCATAATAATAATACTTAATTTTTTGAGGCTCTTATCTTCAATACATGCTTACAAATTATGTAATATTCACAATACCAACTTACGGAAAACAAGTATAAAGTTTTAACATTTCTACATGCAAGATAACTAGAAATAGAAATACGTTTTCAACTCATTTCTTACATAAACGATTTATAACAATTTTAAAGATCAAGCTTTAAAGAGTAAATACGAATTAAAAAGAAAATTAATTTTTTCAACACAAATTCGATTCCATTCCCTCTCACTGCGTATTGTGATAATAGATAACAGATAATACTAGAATATAGGTTATTTTCAGTTCGATACGAGTACTGATTGCTGACTGTTTGTGGCCTCAATGTTAAATATGCATTTAATGAAGTGCAGCAACATCACCACCTAAGGAGAACAACTGTTTATCTTTTTCGAAATCTCCGGACTCTATTGAATTTGATGATAATACAAATATTTCGATATTCTAAATTCGGACGTCTGCATGACTACAGCCGCCCCGCGACACTCCTTTATTGAAGCGAGAGGTTCTGCATTCGAAAGAAGAGAAAGTGAAGGTTGTTTATCTCCTTTTGTATTTGTTTTTATGTTAGACAGTTGATACACAGACGGGTACCGCCTGAGTGTTTTTATAGCCACACACATTCGACACATAATTGGGAGCAGTTGATTGTGTGTTGAGAGTTTTATGTAAAATATATAAGACAGAAATAACATACAAATAAAATTGGATTATCACGAGGTAACACAAGTTTCACGAATTAATGAAGACCAGCGCAGCATCAGATAGTCCGAAGACAAGAACATTCTTTCTGAACTTGAAATAACATACAGGAAGTTCGATAATTTCAAGGCTCGAGAATATATCATGTAACGATATCGTATATCATGAATAGTATATCGATTGTGGAAGGCTTAAGTAGAACATGCACACTTCTCAAACAATCTTTGGGTGTCTACTATGAATCTCATAAAATATAGTGGATATAGCACATTCGGGATAAATTATTCCATAAAGAAAGGTAGTTTACAAAAAGGAGATAAGAACGAAGGTAATCAATTAGAAACGAAATGAGAAAACAAAGAAGAATGTTTGGAAGAAACTGTATAAACAGGAAAAAAGTGAAAGAAAGACCAGAAAAGGATTATAACAAGTCATATGGTAGGATAAGAAAATCGCAAAGGAAGTGAAGATGGAGTTGGCAAAAAAACTAACAAGAAAGGACGAAAGGAAAAAAGCAAAGTGACAGAAAGAAATCAAAAGGAAATTAAAAGAGAAAGAAATTGAGAAAGCGAGAGAGAGAAAGAGAGAGAGAGGGACGCTGAGAGGGAGAGGGGGAAGAATAAGCAGACCTTAAGCGTGTGGGGGAAGCAGAAAGAGAAAATGAGAAAGAAAATTGAAGAATGGAGAGAACCGCCGTGGCGGTCGATGCGGCGGTGGCGGCGAATGTGGGTATAGTAAGCATCAAGTGTAGTGACGACGGCCCCATGGCCAGAGGCAGAGGCAGTAGCAGAGGCAGTAGCAGTAGCGATGGCAGTGGCAGTGGCAGTGGCAGTGGCAGTGGCAGTGGCAGTGGCAGTGGCAGTGGCAGTAGTGGAGGCGGTGGGGCGGCGGGTGGTGATGGCCGCGAAGGTCGCGGGGCCGCTGCTTTGTGGGCCGAGTTGCGCCCCGTCGTAAACGTGTCGCCAGGGGGAGCGCGCGTCGTAATTGGGCCCCGCGGATCAGAGGCATTAGCCTCTCACCTGCCCCACGCCCAATGCTCGTCAAAGGGATCGTTTCATCTCTTTCTTCCCCCCTCTTAAACATCCACCGCCACGGATAATTCCTCTATTTTGGGATCACTCTGGTCTGCTCTTATTTCACGAAAAGCCTTATAAGAGTTCACTTTAGAGAATCTCCCAGAAGTGAACAAAATCATCCCTGATATCTCTTTACTAATGATCAAAACAAAAAGAAAATCATTTCAGATTGTCTAATAAAAAGTCTTGTACTTGACTTTCCTTCCGCATGATATTACCAAACGAAATGTTTTCACACGTGCGTGATAGATAAAATTTACTCACATTTATGTAAATTCTTCTGTTATTCTTCACTCACTGCAGAATCATATCTCAGAAACACGGCCACTGGTGTAACATATCGAACATAACTTAAAGCAGAGACCGTCTGAGACGTACTCGCGTGTATTCTCAGCGGAGCCGGCCCATCCCTTCCGCACTCACTGGATGCACCGGGGCGGCTCCATCGCAGGCGTCAAAAGGCCATTAGCGTTATAGAGCTCCCAGAATACGCTGGCCTGGCAATTGCCAGCCTCACGACTGCTTCCGCACGCGAGATCGAGAGCGACGGCGAGTGACAGCAAGCGCGAGAGCGAGGGCGGAGGTGAGAGCGACGGCGACAGCAAGGGCGAGGGCCAGGACGAGGGCCAGGGCGAGGGCCAGGGCGAGGGCCAGGGCGAGGGCCAGGGCGAGGGCCAGGGCGAGGGTATGGGCCATGGCGAGAGCGACGGCGTGGGCGAGGGCGACAGCGAAAGCGACGGTGACGTCGAGGACGAGAGTGACAGCGAGGGCGAAGATGAGGGCTAGGGTGAAAGTGGCAGCGAGGGTATGGACCATGGCGAGAGCGACTGCGTGGGCGAGGGCGACGGCGAGGGTGTCGGCGATGGCGACGGCGAAGAGGAATTCGGTGACGACGGAACCGAGGTACGCCGAAAGCACGAAGGGCCCCTGCGTAAATTCCATTAGGCAAATTTGGAGAATTTTGAACACCCCCTCTCCGCCTGTAACGCATCTATAACAAGCGCTTAAACCCCTCTAAATAATTACGTTGTGCTTGCGACAAGACCTCCATCTCCCATTTACGAAAAGTAAAAACAATTTATAACGCAGAAAAACCAATTAGTATTAATTTTATTTGTGTGATTTATTGCAAATTATGATTTAGAGTCAGAGCTAGTTGGTGATGTAGACTGCACCTAACAATAAGATAGGGGATAATTCTTAAGGGAAGGAAGGACCTCTCCGCATGAAAATTTCTGCCGTGGTGTGGGCCACACATGTGCCCTGAGTGTACTGTACCAATTTAATTGGTATAGTACACTGGTACAGTATATTGGTTCTTCTAGAATATACTATACATCAGTTTTGAGTATTATCTTTGTGATCTGAAACATTCAATACCATTTTCTATTTCTATCATCAAAGTCTACATTGGAGAAAATAATGTGTGTTTCGCCCTTTTAAAATAGAATTCCATTTGTCTTGCCGAATCACCATGCTTTGATTTTCCTGTAGTGGCTAGTGACATTAGATACTCGTCATACCTTATTAAATGAATATTTTTAATTAATTCCCGAAAGTTCCTCTCAAAGAGACTCGTACCTCAGAAATGTGCTTTCCGCTGTTAAAAGATGCATATATAAGTCAGGAAGTGTAACAGTGACCTAATATCATTGGTCACTAGAGCATTGATTCTCAAAGGGAGGCGTAGAGACAGGTCAAGGGGGATGCGGGACGCATCGATCGTGTAAAAAAAATCCCCACGCCGTATTCCGGTCTTCTCAACCTGAGAAGAGAATTTTCTCCTCGTCACACAGCAACATATACTGCGACATTGCAAGGAAAATGCACACTTTAGTCTTGTCTCGACCGGGAATCGAATCTGGGGCTGCGTACTGCAAAGCGAGCACGCTCACCAAGAGGCAGCCACTTTCTTCATTACCGAATAAAAATATGCAACTGGGCGTGGGGCGTGGGAGTATATTTAAGCGCCTTAATTGAAGTATAGTGAGCGAGGCAGAGGGGACGACAGGAGCGGCAGCGGGGGTGGGGGTGGAAGCGGGGGCTTGAGTGGAGACTTGAACGGAGGCTTGAACGGAGGCTTG